ATCCAGTAGGCGCGTCAGCAAATGACCAATCCGAAGCTAAATGCTCCTTACCTGCAAAGAGCTGCGCTGCAGCCCATCAGAGCGTACCACCTGACTGAAAGCAGGTTCAAAGTCTTGACACTGATCATAATCTGATGATGATGTGCTAACAGATTAACTATCTCCTTATTTGTAAAACCAATACCAACATATAACTTAACAAGATGCTCAACGTTCTTCGTTTTACCACAGTTAAAATGATGTAAACCCTGCTTTATCATGTCGGAGTTCGAATATTACAACTCATTTAGCTTTGGGTTAGTCAATTGCTGACACGCCTACTGGATTGAATGACAGGTTGTGTCGTGGATCCAATTTATTAAAAAAAATAAAAATAAATCAAGAGCTGCAAAAAGACTCGTTCGACTTTATTCTCTAATATTAATACTTTAATCGGCTTTATTCTCATAATTTTATGGCTTTTTGTTTTCTCTTAGAGTGCCCCTAATAATCTTAAACATAGTGTAGCTAAAACATGGTAGTTTGTGTAGCTGTATGTGCACGTATGGTGGTATGGGGTGTAGTTTTATACTAATCATTTTGAGGGTCTGTAGTTTGAAGAGTCTTGTTTGTTATTTAGAGTTTTTTGTACTTTTCTAATGATGCTTTAATGGCCCCAACTTTCCAAACTTGCATTACATTAACCCACACCAGTTAAGCTGCTGCTTTTCACACTTATTCAGACTGAAAATAAAGAATAAAGAGGTAACGCCAGAGATTTACTCTTAGAACATGACAGGTAAACACTGCATTCAAGCTGCAGGGGGAATATTAGACATATCTTTGATTGGTCTCCCAGCGACCAGCTCAGAAATTAATGCCGCTCTGTGAGCGCCTGTTCTTCTATTTGGTTTGTGCTCTATCACCACTTGCATAACGGCTCTAACACATACACGTTGCAGTTGAAAAGCAGATACTGTATAGCAAAACCAGTTATGTTAAGCAATAGAAAAAAATGTTAAAAAAAAAAAAAATGACTGAACAAATTTAGATACAGAAGTTATTCTTTCTTACATAATGTTGCTGCCCCCCCCCTCCCCAATTTGTGTAACTACCCGTCACCTGAAAAGTAAAAAAAAAAAAAGCAAAATAAAATGAATAAATAAATAACACTGTTCTTTGTCTATGCGAGACCAAACTGCCAGCAAAGTCTAGTATTTTTATGAACTGTTGCTTGATTTGCCAAACATTCTGCTTTCCCCCTAATGCTTACATATGAAAAAAAAGAGAGATCCCTGTTCCTTGAAGGTGTTTTTTATACATTCTTCTCAGCTTCAGCCACAGGGACGGTGAGAGGTCAGGGTCAGTAGAAAAAGACAACATGTCTGAAACCAAGAGCTTGTTGACAACACACACACACATATATATATGTATATATACTTTATTTTTCCCCTTCTTTCGGCTGCTCCTTTTGTTGGGGGTCGCCACGGCGGGGGGTGGGGGGTAAGGGCCTTGCTCAAGGGCTCATGAGTGAGGCAAATAAGGGTGGAGGCAGGTGTGGGTGCTTCACCAATCACACTCACATTTTGATGTTGTCGGCACCGGGAGTCGATCCAACAATCTTCTGATCACAGGCCCACCCTCTCTAACCTCTGAACCATCTATCCATCCATCCCCCATCTCTCTCTCGCTCTCTCTAATTAGGTATGCATGTATAAAGGACCGTTGATTGTGACAAGTTAATTTTTTTCTAAAATATTTTATACATGTTGCTAATTTTGCAAGAATTAATGAAAATTTTAATTAATTAATATTTTTATTTTATTTACTTATTTATTTGTTCATTAGTTTTTACCAGCAGCCTACACGTGTTTTGGAACTTCTAAGTTTTAATATCTGATGCAACTGACATTTGTTGATATGATTCTAGTTGAATGTGGATTTCAGAAGGAGCACCCCCCCCCCCCCCCCCCCCCCCCCAGTATAGGAGAATATGTGGTGGAAGTGGTCTCCAGTTACAAGTACTTGGGTGTGCACCTGAATGGCAACCTCAGCTGGGGCGACAACACTACCAGCCTGATCAAGAAAGCTCATCAGAGACTCTCCTTCCTCAGGCGGCTGAGATGAGATGAGCTGGACTGGGAAGCTCAGTCCTCACCTCCTTCTGCAGGTGTGCAGTGGAGAGCATTCTGTGCAGAAAGAAAAGCTCTGCAGAGAGTGGCGAAGGCTGCACAGAAGACTGTCGGAGTCAGTCTTCCCACCATCAGACATCTACACCTCCAGAAGCAGGAAGATAGCTACCTGCATCAAGAAGGACCCCACTCACCCAACACACACATGTTTTGCCCCGCTCCCCTCAGGAAGGAGGTTGAGGAACACTAAGTGAAGAACCACTAGACTGAGGAACAGCTTCTATCCTGAGGTTATTAGACTCATGAATCTCTAACCAAGAAAATCACTGGAATGTCAATTTAATAAGGTGATATGTCACTTTGTGCTGCTGATTATCCATGCTGCTGATCTATCACCTTTAAGCTGCTGTATTCATATCAATATGCTCATTACATACTCATGTTTAGGCTGCTGTTTAATGTAACATATTTTACATTAGTGTTAAGTGTATATCTTAGATCCTTGTATTTGTATTTAGTTTTTTTGGTTGTAACTGGGACCTTGAGTACACAATTTTGTTCCTCCTTATGTACCACATGTGATGCAGATGGCAATAAAGAACCATTAACCTAGTTCTAGTATTGTTTTATAAACTTGTTTTTTTTTTTGGTATGAAAAACATTTAAAACACCTGAGTTGTATATTTTAGTTTTTTTTTTTTTTAGAACATCTATCAGACTAAATGCATCCGTTTTATTTTGTCTGCAGATGTAATAAATCAGGTTATTATTCTTTGTACTGCAAAGCATTCCTGAAAAAAATAGCATATACATTTCAAACTACTAGCATTCCTATACACACACACACATACACACAGTACACTAGCAGAGTGCATGCTCTTTTGTATTATAATTTCTGACAAATTGAGCCCAGGCTAACTTCACTGCCTCTTGAGCTGGCGCTGTGTAAGTTAGCACACGTGCACTCTTTGTGATTCAGTGTGGTTTTGTGCTGTACAAGTGAAACATGCCCTGGGGAATCCTGTCAATCACACAAGCTGGTAATTTATCAGCGAAACAAAGCACTTTGTAAGACTGTCTGTCAAAGTGGAACTATGTAATTACATGTATGCATTAGAATTTGGGTGAAAACAAACAAACTAACGATTTGCTCTCTTTTTTTATATATATTTCTTCCCACTTTGATTTCTGTGCACACCAGCCATTTGTATTACTGATTTGAAGCAAAAAGAATTCTAACAAGTAAACAAACAGAACTAACGCAAGCACATATTTTATTCTTCTACAAACACCATTTGTCACCTTTTAGACGTTGCTTTTTATCTGGTCTGACTTTAATTCATTATTTGCTTCTCTGCACAACAAGGAATTAAAATACAGCTGACATTCACAGTGGAATGAACATCTCAGAAATTCAAATTAAATATTTGTTAACAGAGGAATGTAAAATCCTGTCTAACCTAATTTCTCTTGTTCAACAAAGAAAAAAAAGTGGACGGAAAGGGCTGTTATTTACACACATATTGAGCTGTTGGATATATTCAGTATGTGTTGTTGCATTAACCAGAACCACAAAAAAGTTGAATCGTGCTGGACAGTTTCTTTTTGGAAGAAACATTTTTTTCCAAAATACTTCATCAGTCTGAGTCCATCCATCAGGATCTGTTATATTAAACATTACCTTATTGACATATTTCAAACCGGTCTGCTGTGGAATTGGTCAGTAAGCTGTTATTTAATATAACGGATCCTGTTGACAGGCCTCAGACTGATGAAGTCTTTCGGATGAAAGACGAAACGGTTCTTCCAAAAAGAAAATGTCCAGATGACACCAACTTTTTTTGTGATTTATTTACCTGGATAACTGAGCATACTTACTCTTTTTCTTATTAACCAGAACCATATTATTGAAAGAAAATGTATTAATTATTGTGACTTTTTTTTTCTGATATGACTAGTTTCTGTTTGCATTCCCATTCCTCTGCACTTAGCTTTACTAGTCTTTTCACAAAACTCCCAGCAGTCAATATTTGTGTGTGTGTGTGTGTGTGTTGGGAAGCAGGGTCAGTATAATGTTACATTGTGGGAACCAATTTTCCAAAACATCCTACATTGTGAGGACCAACTGTTCCTTGTGGGGACCAAAGCCCAGTCCCCATAAGTATACGTTTTGCTGATGGATTAGGGGCTAGGTTTAGGAATTGCAGATGGGTTAGGTACTGGTAATGGTTAGGGTTAAGGTTAGGCTATATAAATTAATGAAAGTCAATGCAAAGTCCCCACAAAACTAGAAAGACAAATGTGTGTGTATGCGAGTAGTGAGCCCCTCGTGACACCAAGACGTGCGTCACTGTGAACTCATCGAGCTCCATTGCCTCTTTCTTTGGGTCAGCTGACAAACGGTCCATGACATTAGTCTCGCTTGTTGTGTGAACTCAGCACAGTCTTTTCATCTTTTCTTGTTTATTCTTACACCAGATTTTTGATTTACCTAAAGATTGTTCCAAACCAGGACCGTCTTATAGGTATAGTACTCTACAAAAAAAAAAAAAAAAAGTTTACAAAAAACAATACTTTCCAGTGGTTATTTACTCATAACTACTTTTGCAAAAAAGACTGTTTAAAAAAACAAAAAACATAGAGATATAGTCAAAGACATTATTGTATAACTTTTGGTGATGGGCAAAAATAAGGTAATTGTTCAAAAGAGATGGCGACAAGGAGCACAGCCAAGTTGATGTGAAGGAGTGGAGCACAGTAAAACAACTGCAGGTCAAACTATATGGACAGTTGGAGAATAGAGAACAGCCCACTGAACTAAAATAAAACAGACTTGGAGTAGACCTCAGCATGAAATGGTGTCATAAAGAAGATGAAATGCGTACTCACCAAGCTGAATGCGTCTCTGAGCGTAGGCTACAACCACCGCAGCAAGAACTACACAGCACAACGATGTCACAAGGTTTGCCATCTGTAGACACACACACAGCAAAGTCATCAGTGCATGTGAGAGCCAGAGTTCATCTGCCTGTTGTTCTGATTGACAGACCCATAGACGCCTATAATACCATGCGAGGGATGGAGAGATAGCTACTTCCTGTCCTCTCAATATCTTTAAGTGTCCATCTTCCTTCACATTAATACAGTCTCTGAGAAACTCTTTTGTTCCGTGCTCATTTTTTTACTGCTTGTCAAGTTTCCAATTCCTATCAAATCCTGGTCTCACTTTTGATTTACTGGTCTCTGTATATGTAGTTCTCCTTTGATTTTATATTAATCTTCCTATCTCCTTGTCTTTTCTTTTTCTCTTCATCAGTCTAATGGGTCCATCCCCTCTGGAATGGGCCGAGTCAGGGACTCTTAAAGGTATAGCACATCAAAAACAAATGCAACTTTCAT